AACAGCATGTTCTTTTGCAAATACAATATCTTTGGTCTCTGAGGGAATTAATGATTTTTTTTGAGGGGGTTGTCTTGATTTATTCTTCATGCATAGCCTGTTTCTTCCAAGTTTTTTTTTTTTTTTTTCAGTTTTCTTAATTGAAGATCTGAAGATCTTGTTGATCTTGTTCATTTTCAGTTTTCTTCAGCACTGCTGGTTTGGCTCAGCAGTTAGAGTGTCAACCCGTGGACAGAAGGGTCTTGGGTTTGACTCCCAGTCAAGGGCACATACCTGGGTTGCAAGTTCGATCCCTGGCCCCAGTCGGGGTCATGCGGGAGGCAACCAGTACATGTGTCTCTCTCCCATCAGTGTTCTCTCTCTCTCTCTCTCACACTCCCTTCCACCGATTCTAAAAATCAATAGAAAAACATCCTCGGGTGACCCGTCCCGCAGGTCGAGCAACGAGGACTCTAGAGGGGGAGTGAGGATGATGAGGGACAAGAGACACGAGAAATGGAGACAAGACAGGCCTCTGATCAAGTCTCGTTTATTCAGGGGGAGTTCACATACTATATAGGGGAAAAACAGGTGAAACAGTTAATGAGTATCCCACCTGAAGCAAATTCCAGTAAATACCCCAGGTAGAACAAATGATAAGCAAAGAATGGAGTAAGCAATTATCTAGAGGAATGTAGACACTGTATGCAGAGAGACCCTGCCCTGGGGCCAGAGACAGCAGAGCAGACTGCAACAGAATGGATGCCATGCAAAAGTCTCCCACACTCGGGTGAGGATTAACAACAATTAAAGTTTTCTTCATATATCTGGTGACTGTCTGTCTGCTCGTACTTGAATATGACATTAATGATTCTCTGGAAACTCTGTGAACATGGGTATGGTCTTCAGCAAGGGTAATGTGGCTGGCTTATTTCCTTATGAAACTCTCATGGTAGTATCTTCACGTTGTCTCCCTTGGGCTGACCAGATACCAGAGACATTCTTTCAATCTCCTGCAGGAAAGATACATTTCTGCCTGTCAGGATGAGCCACATGAGGGAGAAGAACCATGGTCTAAATATTTCATAAACTAAATAGTTCATAAACTTGTGCTTAATTACCCTGTTTCCAATATGGTATCTCCATTTTTAACTATGCTTGGTGTCCCTCAGTAACAAAGATGGCAGAAACAGCAACTGGGTAGGGATGAAGTTAAAAATGGCTAAGAAGTGTGCCCTGATGTTTGACTGCAGCCAGTGAACAGTGTCTGAATAAATAAAGGATGACTATCAGTTTCTTTCCAGTGCTCCAACTCCTTATATTTTGTAACCACATCCCAGGGAAGAATTAATTCATCCCCTAAGTAATCAATTCTAGTGGCAGTCCAGGTAGGCAGCTGCTGTCTATGAGCTCCCACATAGGCCAGGTGGCCATACCGCAGCTCCCTTGTGCATTAGAGAGAAGAAAGAAATCAGTTATTGAGCTGCTAATCTCTGCCCCGACAGCTGGAGGATGAAGCTCTGTGCTGGTCCATTGCAACAGGAAGGAAATTCTGAAAGCCAGAGTGTGAAGAGAAAGCTTAAGGAGTCCTTATGCCTGGTGTAGTTGTGGGCTTTGTAGAAATGGCAGTGCTCAGATGCCTTCCAATATATAGCATCAGGCACAAATTTGAAGGCCAGGGTATGAGACTCCATTCAGAGAAGGACAACTCACAAAGATTTTCAGGCTAACAGTAGCACAGGGAAGGAGATCAAGGCAGGTGGGTGTCAATATAAGAAACATTCAAACCTGTGAAGAATCTTTGTGAGTTTATTTGAGCCAAACTCTTGATAATTGCTGGGAAGCAAAATCTCAACGGACTGAGATAATGCTCCGGAGAAGGGCAGTTTTGCATCTTATTTTATGCATTACAATCAAAAGAGGATACGTAAGTGGGTTACATGAAATCCTTTGGTGATAGATTAGGGAGGTGGGAGAAAGCAAAGCGAGGAAACCTCTGGGATTGGATAAAAAGTAAAATGATAGATACATTCTTCTTTTAATAGGTCGGTATAGGTTAGTTAACAGTCAACAATTAACTCAATAACAACGAGGGGATTTGTGGTTCCTGCCTGTGCTTTGAAGGGTCTGGAAAAAGGAAAATTACTTTGACATTCCAAAGATAAATTATTGTAGATGCAAAAAGACAATAGACAGGCTCAGTTAAGTTAAAGATTGACCTTTGTCAGGGAAGATACCAGCCTAGGATATGACTACCCACAATAAACTGCTTTTAGTTAGGAAGTTTTCATTTCAGACTATCCTATGTGGTTACTTTAGGTCTCTGAGTTTGTAGGCAGCCATGCAGGCCTCCCCTGAGCTTGTCAGGTTTAGTATGTGGCCCCTTTTCATCCACATGGGATTCTGTAGGACAGATGGAGCTCTCCCTCTCCTTCTTGCCAGGGAAAACATAGCTACTCCAAAGACTAGCTGTCCTGTGGCCTTCTGGGGGTGTCAGGGCTATCACTCTCTGAGCAACCATTAACTATAAATGAGATCCCTTTTACCTCAGTTTCTCTGAGAATACAGAAGAAATAACCTATCCCATAATCTATTACCCAGTCATCTGCATTTTAATGTATTTTGTTTTTTTTCCAAGTTTATTTACATAGTTAAAATCTTACAGAATGTGCAATGTTGTCTCCTGCTTTGTAGTTTACTATGTTATCATAAGTTTTTATTTCCCTTTATCACTCAAAAAAGTTCTTGGCACACTGGCTGGTTTGCTCAGTGGTTAGAGCACTGGCCTGCAGACCAAAGGGTTGTGGGTTCAATTCCAGGTCAAGGGCACATACCTAGGTTTTAGGTTCCATCCCTGTCCTGGTTGGGCTAATTCAGAGGGTAACCAATCAATATGTCTCTGTCACATTGATGCTTCTCTCTCTCTCTCTCCCTCCCTACTTCCCACTCTCTCCTGGAAAAAATATCCTTGGATGAAGATTAACAGAAAAAAAAGTTCTTGGCTAACTTAATATTAAAGGCTATAACTATCCCCCTATTGTTGGACCTTAAAGCTGTTTCAGATCCCTTTTTGTTATTAAAAATAAAACTGTCATACATGTCTTTGCGTTTACACCTTCTAAAATAGTGTCAAATTTAAAATAATACAGAAAAGCACACAGAAATGTAAAACAGCATCCCAAATCCCATTGCTCAAAACGTCAGTATTCCGAAGGGTGGTGTGGCTGGGGCTTTGCTGGCCTCACAATGTCTGCCAGTTTCAATTTTCAGAGTCTGTTGCCTGTAATCTTCCTGCTTGCATGGACCTGTGCTTATATCTATCCAGCCTCCTGGACAGAAATCAAACTGGATTGGTGGATATATTTGGAAAGTACACCAGAATTGGTGAGTGGAAGAGTCTTTATGTTGCAGTATGCTGTGATGGCCTTCAACATCCACTTCATATAGTAGGTTGAAAAAATAACTGAATTTAATTGCCATCAGATTTCAATATGAAAAGGGGACTTATCTGCAGAACATAATTGAAAGAATGGTTAACAATTTTTTTCTTTATTGATTTTAGAGAGAGAGAAAGGGAGAGGCAGAGAGAGATGGAAACATCGATGAGAGAGAACATTGATTGGCTGCCTCCTGCATGCTCCCCACTGGGGATTTGGCCCACAACCTGGACATGTGCCTTGACTAAGAATCAAAGCAGCAACCTCTTGATGCATGGGTCGATGCTCCACCACTGAGCCACACTGGCTGGGCGGTTAACCATTTTATCTGTGAACATTGAATTTGATAAATTTCCAGTTTCTATTCTTTATTTTTGTTATAGAACCAATGTTCTATAGTAATAATTAGGACGTGACCATTTAATAGTCAAATAGTTTGTAACAATCAATCTCAGTACTATCACTACAATATTACATTCTGCAGATATCATTCTGTTTGTCAGATACCAGTTTTTAGGTATCTCTAAGGCACATAGTAGAAAACAAAACTGGTAAATGATTCAAGTTCCTTTCACTGTGATTTGAAAATGATGTATCTTTATAGAATGAAGCCTTTAAAAAATCAGTAATCAAAGGTTTAATGATAAACCGCAATAATTTCAGCTACTTTTTAAAAAAAAATTAAAAAATGGACCGATTATATATTTGACGAATTACAATGATAATTTCTGATTGCAACAAAAAAAAGTGTTGTTGTGAGAACCACTATGAAGTTATAATGTAAATACATATTTTTAAATGTGAAAAGGCAATTTCCTTTATATAAAACTCATTTATCCATCACGTAATGTCAAATGCACCTATATTTAAAAAACGCATGATTCTTTTGAGGAAAAAGAGCCAGATCAAATACATCACTAAGGGAAAGCATGTATACAAAACTACGAAGTCTACTGAGGACAAAGACCACCATTTTACATATTTTTAATTCCCCAGTTCCTGATGGGTTCTCAGACTATAGTTTCTCAGTTGATGAGTAGCAAATTGATTTATTGGTTAAATGAGCAACTGTGGAGTCATATATGTCAGTTATACTGAGAATGGTATAAAATAAATGGGTAATTCACCAGAAACTGGCTTCTAAATTGTAACTTTAATGACCTTGAAACAACATGATTTAATACCAAATGTTTAAACACTCATTATCATTGCTAATCTGTGAAATCAATATTATTTATATCTGATTAGCTATACAAAACTCATTGATTTTTCTTTTGAAAAAGGCAGTAGAAATCCCAAAGAATAAGGGAGAGACTACTAATTAAAGGTCATGTTTACAAATCTAGCACCATAATTCCAGTCTTAGGACCTCCCAAGCAGCTGGAAAGAGGAAGGGAAGAGGTGAGGATGTTGGAAAAGTAAGGACGGACAGTTCATAACTTGTGGCCCCATTTGTGCTCGAAGAAATGCAGGGTCTAGCAAAGGCTGATACTGGAGATAAGACAGAAGCTTTGGTTCAGATGTAGAGGAGGCCCTGGAGAAGAGTAAAGCCAGGATTTCCTGGAGGCAGCGCTGGAGTTGGCCTCATGAACTAGGGGGTTTCTTCTTGGCATTCAAATCCTATATAATATAATTTCTTCAAGTTTTTTTTTTTTCCCCCTCACCCGAGGACATTTTTCCATTTTTTGTTCAGGTAGAGTGGGAGGGAGAGAGAGGAACAGAGAGAGAAACATCGATGTGAAGGGACACATCGAGTGGCTGCCACCCGCACAACCGACCAGGGCCGGGGACAAACTGCAACCGAGGTACGTGCCCTTAGCGGGAACCGAACCCGGGTCTCTCAGGACCGCAGGCCTACGCTCTAACCGCTGAACCAAACCGGCCAGGGCAATTTCTTCAAGTTTTTTAGCCAGGTTTGGTATGTCATAATTCTGAGCCAGATACATTCCAACCAGGTTGCCAAAAGTAAATCCAAGCAGGAACTGGAGCCTGATATCAGCGAACCGGGAGTGAATGATGGTAGCAGGTTGGTGGGCTGTTCAGCTACTTAATTAAAAATAAAAATTTGCCACACACACACACAATCACTAATCACATGTGGTTAACATTTCTCTATGCTGACAGATTTATCTTAATTTCAGATGATTTCCCTAGTATAATTAATAGGTCAAAAGATTTGGCCTCTTAAACACGAAACTCCACTGCCTTTTATTTCAACCTAATGATACCTAACTTCTTTTGGGGATGATCTTAAAATTCCGACCCAGAATGTCCCAGACATTTCCACAGCAAGAATTTTATTTCTTCTAAAAACAATGTCATTGAAGTTTGGAAAGGTGTTAGAATACCGATTGCACAGAATCAGTAAATTCAAGCAACTTCAAGCCTGAGGAAGGCACTCTTCTCACGTGTGGCCGCCACTTTTCCTTTAAATGCCTGCTCACGTGATCGCAAACGTGCGTGCGCACACAGGAAATTCACACTGTCAGGGTAATTCCTCCCCCACCTTCCCAGTCTAGGATTTCTGGCATTTTCTCCACGGAAATCGTTAACTCCTCTGGAGACTTTCTCTTTCTTATCCCCTTCGTTGTATCACCTCTTCCCACTCCTTTCTATTAGTCGCGGGCCCTTGCGCTCCATCTGTCCTACTCTATCCAACTTGCCGGAGGTAGGACGACGAAAACTACAACTCCCAGGGGGCCTCGCGGGCACTGCCCTCGGCGGCGCGCAGTGTAGGTCGGGGACTGAGGTCCCAAGGTCTTTTCACCGCTCGCAGACCGGAGCAAGCGCACTACAGGTTCCGTGGCGCCTCGCGCGCGAGCGGGGCAGGACCAGGGCCGGAGGGGAGGGGCGGGAGTGGGAGCCTGGGGCTGGCTGGCGGGTGCGCGGGGGCGGGGGCGGGGGCGGGGGCGGGGTAGCGGAGGCGATGGAGGGGAGGAGTGGAGGGATGGGGGAGGGAAGGGGAAGGGAGGCGGGAGGCGGGGCCGAGCCGGAGCTGGAGCTGGAGTCTGAGCCGGCGGTTGCAGTGGAAGCGGTGATGTCGGTGCAGGTCGTGTCAGTAGCGGCTGCCGCGAAAGTGCCTGAGGTGGACCTGAAGGACCTGAGCCCTTCCGAGGCGGAGCCGCAACTGGGACTGAGCACGGCGGCCGTGAGCACCATGGCCCCCCCGGCGGGCGGCGGGGACCCCGAGGCTCCAGCTCCAGCTCCAGCCGCGGAGCGGCCCCCAGCCCCTGGCCCCGGCTCCGGGCCCACAGCTGCCCTCAGCCCTGCCGCTGGGAAAGTGCCTCAGGCGTCGGCCATGAAGCGGAGCGACCCTCATCACCAGCATCAGCGGCACCGCGACGGCGGCGAGGCCCTGCTCAGCCCCGACGGCACCGTTACCGAGGCGCCGCGCACGGTCAAGAAGGTATTGGGGCCGGGCTGCCTCTGGTGGAGAGAGAGGGAGGGAGGGAGGGGGACCCGCACGCTGATCCTCTCGGCACCGAAGCACCCTCCCTTCTGATCACGGAAGCAGAGGGACCCCTTTTCCCCTTAAACCCACTCTCTCAGAGATGCCCCCACCCGTCCCCCGGTGCTGGGAAGCGAGGACTCCAGCCAGCACGGCCGCACTTTGCTGTGAATAACATGGAGGTAGCGCTTTCCACTACTACTTGGAATGGGCAGGGAGAAGAGAGGCACCTAATACTGCCCCTCCCTGCACCCCAACATACTCCCGTGTTATTTTTCAGACTCTCGGAGGAGACGACCCCGGTGGTACCGAAAAACCTTACCACTTATGAGAGTTCACCCAGCAATAAGGGTGGAAAGATCTTTTCTGATTGTAGTTAGGAGTAAGCAATAGTTACCTCGCATTGAAATCCTCAGTTGTCTGGTTTCTGTGCAGATGATTATTTTATGCCTTTCTGTGGTCAACAGCTTCCATAGAGTAGTGCTGATGCTGTGCCCTTCACTCCAGATACTGCAATGTTGCATCTCCTCTGAATGTAGAAGGGTAATGGAGAGATTGTCTTCACTCTTTTCAGAGGTTTGTCCTCTCTGCTCAGTAGTTGGCCACCAGGATTATTAGATTGTGTTTAGAGAGATTGCTTGTTTTATTGGTTCGTTTTATTATGATCTGAAAGTGTTAGGAAGAAATGCTTCCACTTTTGGGAAAGGCTGTCATTGTAAGGCTTTTTGTCTCAGCTGTCAGCTTCTTTCAGACACAGTTTTGAAGAGGCATAGTCTTGAGCACCAGCGAGTAAGTGTCCCTAGATGTAGTGTACTTACATATTACCCTTACAATGGCTATGCATAGTGTGTCTCTCCTCTCATAGCACAGAGAAAAAGGGCAAATATTGGAAAAGACGTGAATCATATAAAAAAATGATTATGGCTCTAATTTCTGACATACATACAATATGAGCACAGTGATTTATGTTTTTTGTTTTTTATTGGAAATGATTTTTATCAGAACAGCAGTAAGGTGATGTGAAGTCTGCGTTGGTTTCACTGTAAGAATCAGCTGAATTGGAACCTTGGATCCAGCCTAACTTGTGATAACCTAATGATTAAGGTATAAAGCAGATAACCCTTTCATTCTAACTACCCAAACATAGGTGATTAACAAATGATATCCGAGGCAAGACTGAAGGAATTTGTTTAATGATGCCTTAGGACTGTGTCCTTGTTTGCAGTATGAAACTCCTCTGGGAGGAATTACTATAGGAGGAAAGGAAGGCAGCATGAGCTGCCTCTAGTACCTAGATGTGAGTCTGGAAATCTAGAACATGTTTCTGACTAGTTCAGTTGCTTTATAACTTCAGCCAAATTTTTCTTGCGTTAAGGACCTTTTTGTGTAAAATCTGTAATGTGATTAGATCTCTTGAGGGTAAGAGTGTTTAGCAAATTGTTTTTGAGACAGAACATTTACTGTCAGACAGACCTGGTTTGAATCCTGGTACCCCCACTTTTCTCCCTTCTGCTTTATATAGTGTGGGAGAGACTGGGGGCACCTTTGAAATAGCTACCTTTGGCTATGTAATTGGTGACTGTTGCTTTAATTTTGTAACTGCCATATAGAAGTTTATTTGTCTTAAGTCACATTTCCATTGATGGTTTCCCTTACTTCATTCATGTATCTGTCATCATTTTTCTTAGTTCTTTTACTCTTTTCAGCCGCACAAGGGAAATAAACTTTTTACAAGAGCCAGAATTCTCAAGTGCAGTAGTTAATAAGAATGAACATATGGTGTGCAGGATACTCAGTCACATCTTATCTTTGGCACAAGTTGCATCGTATAATTTGTGATGCTCTGAGGACCAGATCTTTTTATTGTGGCTCTGATATATTTGTACATAATGTTTTTCTTCATAAGCTCAGATCAAGTGAATCCAGCAAACCCAAAATCACTATATGGTGAAATGGGAAGAGAAGTTCCACAGTGAATGGAGTGGTAAAGTTGAGAGGATTTCTTTCCTGTGTTCTTAATAATGGGGTCATAGGAATGTCACAGTACAGCAGGGAAAACAAGGCAGAAGAGGATTTATTTCAGAAAAGTTAAAACTTTCTGACAGTAAGGCTGTGAGCCAAGAACTGTAACTCAGTTGTGGTTACATCAGTATTTGTAATGACCATGTTCAAGCAGATGATTATTTTTTTTTTTGGCAAAGGTATCCACCTTGCACTGGCTTTGTTGCTTGTCAGCAGAGAATGAGTTGAGCCATGTTAGAGCTTTCTTGCCTGAACTCTTTAAGCTCTTGACTTGGTTAATTATGGATTACTAAAATAGAATCTTTTGGATGTAGGCATGGGAATATGGGAGCATTGGATGTAGGCATGGGAGTGTGACTCCTTTTATTAGTTAGGAAAACACAGCTTTGCATAATGTTCAGTAACGCAAATTGACATATTGACCCTAATAATAGTTACCATTTATTGGCCTTTTATATGCCAAGAATTGTTGTAGGTGTTTTTCTAATCCTGACAACATATTGAGATATAGGTGGCATTATCTCCACTTTACAAATGATGAAATGAAGCCCAGAGAGGTAAAGTGCCTTGCCCAAGGTTATACAGTTAGAAAGTAGCAGAGGTAGGACTTAAACCTATGTCTATTTCCAAAGCCCATATCCTTTTCATCATGCCCCACTGATTCTTTTTTAACTTCTTTTTTTTAATCCTCAACTGAGGACATGGTCATTGATTTGAAAGAGGGAGTCAGACAGACAGAAACATCGATGTTAGAGAAACATCAACTGATTGCTTCCCATACGTGAACCAACCAGGGACCGAATCTGCAACCCAGGTATGTGCCCTGATCGGGTAGACCAGGGACCTAACCAAAAGTTTTTGGTGCATGCGATGATGCTCCAACCAGCTGAGCCACATTGGCTGGGGCCTTTAACTTCTTGAATGCTTGGTTCTGATCTTCTCTCAGAAGTCTGAGAATATTGTTGAATTATAAGGTATGTGTGTCTGGTTTAAGGCTTAGTTCATCCCAAAACCAAGTAAGGGTCTTAGGGCTTTAGGAAGAGGCTGGTGAAAAAATTGTACAAATGTAGAACTGCAAAGAATTGTGAAATTAGGAGAGAGGAAGAAGAACATCTCATATAGAAAAAAACATTTTAAGATTAATGATGCATTTTCACATTAGTAATTTATTAATAATCTAAGAAATATTGTTATTTTTTAAATTATAAATAAATATGGAGTACCTAAGGGAATATGCTTCCTCTTTCTGTCCAGCTAACAATTTCAATTTTTCCTTGTTTTTTTAAATCCTCACCAAGGACATTTTTTTTTTTATCCTCCCCCGAGGACATTTTTCCGTATTTTGTTCAGATAGAGTGGGAGAGAAAGAGGGAGAGGGAGAGAGAGAAACATCTATGTGAAAGGGACACATCGAGTGGTTGCCTGCTGCACGACTCAACCAGGGCCGGGGTCAAACTGCAACTGAGGTACATGCCCTTAGTGGGAACCGAACCTGGGTCTCTCTGGATCACAGGCTGACGCTCTAACCGCTGAGCCAAACTGGCCAGGGCCTGGGGACATTTTTTGCATTTATCTTCAGATAGAGCGGGAGGGAGAGGGGGGGAAGAGAGAGAGAGAAACATTGATGTGAGAGACATACATCAACAGGTTCCCACCCATCTGGGGCAGGGACAAACTGCAACCAAGGCACATGCCCTTAGTGGGAACTGAACCAGGGACTCTCTCTTGTCTGCAGGCCGACACTCTAACCACTGAGCCAAACCAGCTAGGGCTTTCCCTTTTCTTTAAGTCCTACCTTCTTCATGAATCAATTTCTAATTGAACCTTTAGCCAGTTAGAAGGGGATGCATACTGTTAGATATTCTCGCTGTGTACCAGGCATTGTATTAGAGCTTTACACATACTTTTTTGTTTAATCCTTTTAAGAGCTCTCAGAGAGAGGTAGGGTTATCCTTGTTTTATTGAGGGTTGGAGAGATTAAAGAATTTGTTCCAGGGTTGCACATTTAGTAATGTGATGGAGCTGACAGAACTCTAATCTGTTTGACTTCTAAACCCAAACTCAGTTGCTTTTCAATTGAAATATTTCTCTGTTCAAAACTCAGATTGAATCTTAAACTATGTATTTTTTGTGGATGTTTTTGTTATTTCACTAATAAGTAGTTTATTTTTATTTATTGAGCTTATTCAGTGGTTTTACCATATGTTTATGTGAACATATATGAAACTTGAAGAGAAAGCAGCCTTTTTTTGGCATTATAATTTGTGAATTATATTCTCCTTGGACCTGATTGGGACAGATTGAACATTAGGTGGTGTTTTAGGAGGTTGCTCAGAGCTGAAGTTGCAATTGTGTATTTGATGTCCTGAGGAAAAACCTAAGTCCTTAATATCCAATTCATTCAAGAAATGGATAGTTCATGAAAAAAGGAGAGTAAATTTATTTATTCTATTATTTTCTTGAAAGTGTTCCCCTCTTCCACAATGAAAGAAGGAAAAAAAGATTTGTTGGAATCTTTATTCAGACTCTTGTCAAGTTGGTTTTATAAAGAATATGCAGTTTCTTTCTGGTGGTTCTTGTTTTAATAACTCAGAGAAGTACAACTGAGGTGGATGGGAGAACAGTCTGGCAGTTGCCCTGGTCTGGTGTCCTGCTGTTGTGTTCAGGAGGTATGTATACAATTAGAGGAGCCGAAATTCCATTTACTCAGTAAGCCGAAATTCCATTTACCCAATAGTAGCTTGATCAGATTTCTGTGGAATTTGTGGGAGTTTTTTATAGTCTGAATGACCTATGGCCTGAGATTTGGTGAGGGCTAAGTGAGCAGAAGAGAAAGTGTTGGATTGACATTTCTTCTGTAACAGTTTTATTTTGCTTAAATTAAATAAGTTAAGACATTTCGGTCCCCCTCTTCCCCAGCTATACTCTGCAACAGT